CCAATAACTCTACAAAAAAAATCATAATAATACGAAATAACCTGAATAAATCCACAAAAACCCGCAATAACATCACAATCGTCACAATACCACTCAAATAACATCACAAAAAATCTCAATAACGCATCAATAACTTCAAAAAAAAAATCTTAATAACTACAAATAGCCTAAAAAACTCTACAAAAATAGCAATAACATCACAGTCGTCGCAACACCGCTCAAATAACATCACACTGAACCTCAATAAACCACAAAAACACCAACCCGCAAAAAAAAAACCACTATAACACTCAAATAACATCAAAAAAATCGTAATAGCACCACAACCTCAATAACTCCACAAAAGCTAGCAATAACTTCATCCCGCAAAAAAATTACAATATCACTCAAATAACAGCACAAAAAAATCACAATTACACAACAGCCGTTGTAGTACCACTCAAATAATGCAACAATAAACCTCATTAAAATCTCAATAATTACACAAAAAAATCACAATAACAACAAATAACCGCAATAACATCAAATAACCTCAATAACTCCACGACCGACGCAATAACACTCAAATAACATCATAATAAACCTCAATAACACCTCAATAATTTCACAAAAAAACCGCAATAATATCAAATAACCACAATAACACCAAATAACCTCAATAACTCCGCAAAAAACTACAATAGCACCATAGCCGTCGTAATACCACTCAAATAACACTACAATAAATCCCAGTAAAACAAGAAAAAACCACAATAATATCAACCCTAAAAAAATACTACAATATCACAAAAAAAGGCTACAATAACAATACAACTGCCACAATACCACTCAAATAACATCGTAATAAAACTCAATAACTCCACAAAAAATCGTCATAGAATTTCAATCACACATTAAAGTAAAGCGTTTTTTTTTTTTTCAATGAGACTACGACTTATACAAGACGACACAAGATAACTTTTTATTGGAGTCCAAATGCAGCTCTGCGTCTAAGTCCGGACGTAATACAAACCATTCCAAATATTGATATTTACAAATTATCATGCAGGTGATTTTCTTATCAAACTTAAGAATTTGATAAAAATAAAAAATATGTGACATTAATTTTAAAATAACAATTTCAGGTGACCTAAATCTATTTGCTCCCAAATAAAAATCAGATGCATTTTATAATAAGTTGGAGATTGGGCATATTTTTATCCATACCGGAAGGTCTCATATTTGAAACTGACAAAGAAAAAATTACATATTTAATACCTAAATTTTGATTTTTTATATATAACATCTTAGATGTATTGCAGCGATTACATACATAGCAACTGAAATATTATTATTTACAAATTTAGCATTCTTTTCATCCTTTTTTTCAAATTCTCACTTAAATATCAAAACTCATGATAAAAGTTAAAAAATATATCACCTGACTCACTCACGAGTGTTACATTTTGTAAATATCAATGTTTCGAATGTTATGTATGTAATTATCCATAAAAAATGATATTTTTTTTGAAGTTAAGAAATTTATATATAAATAAAAAAATAAATTTTAAAAATTAGATATATATACGTAAATGCCCAAAAAAAAAA